CACATAAAAGTGAACACGTTCCTACAGTATTAACAATTTCGCACATGTGATCACTTATGAAATATTTTCAATGTTCTCTTTATCATTTTATGCTGAAGTTATATTATGATTTTTCAGGACAGTTAAATCTTCTAGAAATGCAGCTGTGCCATCTTTACAGCAATTGTAGATGAAGCAAAGTATGGTAGCAAGTTATATAGATGTAAGTTCACGTATATATATTGTTGTGTTTTGTGAATGAAATAAGACAATTACACTGTAAAGAAGAGTTACCCAGACTCATATCTATTCCACTCTGTACTGACATCATGTGCTTTTATTCTTTCTCAAGGCAAAGTCAAATTTCCTTAATTACACGCATTTATTTTGACAAGAATAAATGTGGTTAGTTATACATACACTGGTTCTCTTTTATATCTTGTTAGAATCAATTCTTTGGCGGAATGATGTCACACTTCATAAAATGATGTCAATTAAGGCATATATGATATAAGCATTTTGCCGCGCATTTGAAAATGCTAAACCATACTTGCTTGTAATATGCAAAAATCAAATATATAAAATATAAGAATTAACTCGAACACACAAAATGGTTTGATATAGATGCAATGTGCATGCGACTTTATTTTATTAAATTAGTTTTCTTTTCTTAAACATATTACTGAATAAAAAAATATGTATTTCTTTACAGTTTAATCACTTTTATATATGTTAATGATAGTAATTTGTTTAGTTACTACGTGCGTAAAGCGATAAGTACGCCGCTTTGATAATGTGAGAGTGACGTTACATTTTCTTTTGTACATGTACACTAAAGTTAACCACATTTGTCTGAATAGGTAAAACAGGGTTTTCAAAGCGAATATAATGTCAGATAAGAAACAGAATTTGAAATGTCTTGATGTAAAAGTTTAGAATGTCATACACATTAAATTTTATCACAAGTTCGAGCCTCACAAGTTGTCTTACTTTTTGCGTTTTTCTTTCCATATATTTTTTTTAAAATTTTACATTAGAAAAATGAATTGGGATAGAAAGGCAGTTTTGTTATGATATTTAATAATTTAGATATACATGCACGGATGATAGTGATTTTTATCCTGTATAGTGTGTGTAGTATGTAGTAGTCATAGTACTTTTGCAGTGCAATAGTATTTCGTGCAAACTTAACTATAGTTGAAACAGTCTGTGTACAGTATATATGCATTCCGTATAAGTTTGCACCAACTTGTTAAATAGGGCTAAATATAGCTACATTTAAAACAAAATGAGGAGTTAATAGAAAATATCACAGCATTTATAATCTTTACAATAAATGATACATAACTTTCCTACCTGATTGATAATTATAAAGCAATATTTTTGGGAAAAAGGTGCAATCCGAGCCTAGCTGTCTTGCATTGATATTTTCCACAACCTTACCTACTGCATTACGCTGAGAGTTGGTAAATTTGTTGATAATTTAATTTATATAGCTAGCCTGTTTGAAGATAATAAACACAATATGATAGCTGTTTTACACCTGGATGGTGGACTTGACCACCTCGTCACTTAATTATCATACTAAACGCACAGTACTTGTGCGCACGTGAAACATATTGCGTTGATACGTAAATGTTTCATGTGCGCACGTAATAGTCGCATTCGCATGTATTAACAAAAATATTTCCTATGTTATTTTATGCAATTGTCACATATGATACGTATATTTTATTATCTGAATTTGATTTCATACTATCAGATTAATGCTATAGGCAAGGGAGGATATTTTTATTTTTATTTCGTGAGAATTATCACTTTATTTTTAGAGATGACACACTGTAAGAGATTCTATTGTCAACTTACCTAGTTAAACAGTCTTGACAATAAAAAAATAATAATCTACACAAATTGTATATTGAAGGTATTCATTCGTTGCTGAGATAGTTTTTGAAACAATTGAAATTGAAACAAAATGATAATCAAAATTTGTTAAGATTAACGTTTTAATATAATTGAGAAGTATAGCTGGGTATTCCGCTTTTTACTTAACTGGATTATCATTGTGCAAACACGGATCTACATCTGAGTAAAAAATATCTGTACTTTTTAAGCCTTTTTTCAAACGAATTTACTCCTACTAACGATGCTAATATACATCGTAAAACGATCAAAAAGATTAATGTCAGCACTTTTTCCAAATACAATGTTATTTTGTATTAATATATTTTTAATCAATAAAACACTCTTTACATAGAACAAAGATACCATTATCATTTATATTACAGGTGTGAAATAAATATATTCGTAAAGGTTTTATAACAAAAACATATAACTTATCATCCGTCATAGATTAATCATTTCATTTAATTCCTGTGTAAATGATTGCTTATAAATGACATCTTTATCCTAATAATATAAAATAATTTTGAAATTTGCGTTAGAAAAAAAATGTATAAATGTATACGTTTAAAAAATGCTTGTGTATAGCCTTTTTGAAAGTTGTGATAACTATTTCCTGACACTATTTAAACATGATTTTTAAACTATCTTTTTCAGATACACACATGCCGAAGAAGATTGTAATATCTGAAGATAACATTTCCTACGTCACGAAATAGACAACGTCACACTGGTCTACGTAACATTCCTATTGATGATTGATATATTTAAGTGCTTTTAAGAACTGTGTTTGAATGACGAATTTCTGTGAATACGGATTTTTAATTTTAATGATTATTATTTAACTTTCTGTAATGATCAATTTGTGCTATGGACTCATTTTCCTAAAATAATATGTAAATGTTAACACGAACAAATGATATGAATATCTTTCAAAATATTTTATGGGTGTAATACAAGTGGCTCATAAAAATCATTGTTAAGATAAATAGAATCGAACTTCAAGTTGGTATAGTTTGTTCTAGATTTAAACAACATGCATTCATACGGCTTGAAAATGTCGAAACATGTTATGAAAATATCGAAACATGTACATGTATAACTCAATCTCTAAAGAAAATATCGCAGTGCGGATTTTCTCCACTGTGATACGTATTTCATGACTCTGTATCGCATCATACCGGTATATAGCCGTTTCATTGCAACGCTACATGAATTTTGTGCCCCCGGAATAAGGCTTGCAACAATATATGACTGTTGTAGCGAAGACATGTTTATTTTGTTTAATATATGTATACATATTGAATATATGTTTATGAAATAATAAATATTTAAGAGTGACTCGATTTGGTTTTTACTTTATTATTTGAAATACTCCATTTGTGAAGATAAAGTTCTTAAGCATATGACTTTACAGTTTCCATTCAAAATGTGTAATAAAAACATGTTCTGTTGTACAAGTCTGCATTTCGGTCCTGTATACGTGTCACTTATATGTAAATGCATGCTTTTGATATAATCTGTATCTTCTTTTATCAAGAAAATACAGTTCCAACTTCTGTATTCCCTGTGGATAACTAAAAAATGCAATTCCGTATATCCCCTGTATATATTAAAAATACGATTCCGTATATCCCTGTATATATGTAGAAAATACGATTCCGTATTTCTTCTGTATATATAGAAAATACGATTCCGTATATCATCTGTATATGTGGAAAATACGAGTCCGTATATCCTCTGTATATGTAGAATATACGGTTCCGTATATCCTCTGTATACGTAGAAAATACGAGTCCGTATATCCTCTGTATATGTAGAAAATACGGCCCCGTATATCCTTGGTATATTTATAGTATACTAGGGATAGCAACCTTAATATAGTCCGTATACGGGATTTTTTTCTCCGTATACTTCAAAAGTACGAACAAATATACGTACATGTATATGGGGCAAATACGGAATTCCGTATATGCCTGATGCATATACGGACTTCCCGTATACCCGGTGTTCCCTATACGGACTCGTATACTTGGTCCGTATATTCGACGAATACATCCCGTACACGCCCGTATATGTCAAAAATACGGGACCGTATATTCCCGTATATCAGTATATTTTTCGCAGTGTGCAATTAATGGAATCACTACAGACCTCTAGAAAAAAATAATATAAACCTCTATGAGACACACCAATGATAAATTCAGTTGGAACTCTGAATAACATACTATTGATATAGTTTTTCTGGAATAAATGTATTTCAAAAAAATAACTTAACACTAGAAAGGTAGGTGGCATTTTAACAACTCGTTTTTTATAACATTTTAAGTTTTAGAAAATATTGTATGTTTCTCAAATTAATATGTTTACAGAGTTTTTTTTCGTTATGTGTGATAATTATAAATTGGAAAAAGAATTATCAATGTATTTTTATTTAAAATCATCCAATATAAAACAGATATAAAAATTATAGAATTTCATTTATTTTCATTGACCTTTTGATAAGCATTTATTTTTCCATTAGTGTGTTTCCTATGTATATCCAATTAAGAACTATCAATGATTTATTTCTTCTATTACATTTATCCAATGTACATTAGATATAGAATTATCAATAATATAATGTTGTCATTTATATCTATCTTATAATAATATAGTATAGAATTATTGTTTAAAATGTAAAATAAAATATCATTTTACTATAACACACTGTAATTTCGTTGCAGATTGCCTGCAACCAACTTAGACTGTATCAGATTTTATAGCTTGTCGGTTTTAATGTGTCTAAAAAAGATGTTATCAATCCTCCTTATTGCCCATTACATAGTTTTACTGATTTCTATACTTAAATAATTTAATAGAGATTCTAACAGAATGTCAGCATTCACACAGACTAGAGAAATATGTGTCATAGAACGGCACCCTCTACTAAAATATCATTTATTATTATCAACTAGAAAACAATCTTCCGTTGATTAAGCTTAGAAATATGTTGCAATTAAATTAATACTTTTTTGTTTCTAAATTAAAAAACACATCCATCTGACTTATCTGTAATGAATGAATATGTACATATAATATATGATTTCTCTTACAGGTGAAGTGGTTACTCTAAAAACAATATATTGAGATGTTGTCTATGATAGCCCTTTTAAAATTCCATCAGAGACATGTTACCTGGATAGTATATAAATATGTGTTCGTAATGAATACATTACATTTAGAAGAAAAATAATAGAATATAGATTTATGTCAAATATATTTTACCTGGAATGTCAAACATAACAGATAAAAGTTAGCCAAGTTACTTAGAAATAGTTAACTCACCGACCATAACATCGACTTTGAAAAACTTTCTAAGAGGGAAACAAAAAGTGTAAAACTCCGTATCAAGGAATGGGCAGGTCAATAAACATCGTAATTTCAACTATTGTATTGGCTGTCAATGGAATTGTGTTGAGAGCTGACGGTTTTGTATTGAGTGAAAAGGATAACAGTGCTGAGTTGTCTAACACGGATTATTCAAAGGATACCATGATTGCAGACTTTAACAAACCTCCGACGTAAGTTAATTATTTTAACTATGATATAATTGATACTTACTTAGACAAATTATCGGTAGTATGAATTCAATGTTTATTTTGTTTGTTTTTTGTTGTTGTTTTTTTGTCGTTTTTTTTGTTTTGTTGTTTTTTGTTTTTGTTGATGTGGTTTTTGTTTTAAAGAACATCATTTAGAAAAAACAGCGCATAGTAATTAAGATAATGTACTATTGCTTTAAATTAATATTAAGACATGACGAAAACAACAATAAAGCTTTGGATACTATTGATCAATTGTTTAAAAGTAGGAAAGAAATTCAAAATTCAAAAGGTTAAACAAACCTTTTATAACTGACAACTTCATTGTTTGATTTCAGATCAATCCGGCACTTTGCTAGACACGGTTTATGTAATAGTTACGAGGGAAAACGAAATATGTATGCTGCTATGAAAACGAAGCTGTGTAATATAAGCTGTAAGTTAAAGAAATTGACTGTTTGACATATAAGGGATATGTTTTAAATAACACCAGCATCCATCCACTCGAAAAATATATTAAATCATTAGTTTCATTGAATACCACATCTTTAATAGTGTTGAAGCTAAATGTTTACCTAGAGGTATTAGAATAAATTATTTCCTAATTCGCTCGCGCTCAAACGGAAATAAATCATTTATCCCTTAGTCTACAGAAACTAAGAAAATATAACACAAACACATATGTAGAATCAGTCATTCACATTGCATTTATTCTATTTAACATTTTATATTTAAACATAAATATAATATATCGAAACATAACACATAATCGTTTGACTCTAAATATTCAGTACATACATAACTATAATAATGAATCTGAAAATGCTCAAAGTATGAAATTCTGTAACAAATATATCTTATAATTTAATTAATTAATTAATTCAAATTGATAAGAGAAAAATTACCCAAATAATAAGAAACACTGTACAATTTAATTATCAATCTAACTAATCTAAAAAATGTTTCTTATAAAACTGAAATGAATATGATTGGGCGGGGGAGGGGGGATCAAACTTGTAAACGTGATTGACTATGCAATGCAATGTGAAGACCTCGAATGATTAACTTTAGCGAACCGCTAACTTATATATCAACTAAGCACGTAAATTTCGTGCAAATAACAACATGTAGAAACAAGGATAAATACATTTATTTTATTAAGTCTAGATTTGTAATAACTAATTAGTTCTACCACATATGTTTATAGGCCCACCTTGTTTGTATTACAATGGCAAACGATTGGACATTCACATTTCATAGTACTTTTTTATATTGTGATGACATTCATATATAGAATTTGAAGTAAATTATTCTAATGACATTGATATTGACATAAAGACTGACGGTAAGATAATTTCCTTTTATTTATTGCACATGATAATAATTTTAAAGTCTCAGTAGAAATGACTTAGTTAAAGAAAACAATAAGAATATATTAAAATTGTATTTATTATTATGTTATATTATTTTTCATTTTAGTATCAATGATACAAAGTGTAGTGCTGGATTTATGTAGACGGAAGAATCATATGCTGGACAAATGGGTAGAAGAATTATTTGACATTGATGGTATTGTCATTTTGTAGTTTCATATGATATGATGAATACGTCATACTATTCCTTCAAGACATTCACAATAAAATAATATGATGTATGGTTAAATTTTCAATAAAGCTAAACAAAAAGGAATGAATCTAGTTAGCGTCGTCTTGTAAATATTGAGTAAAACCTGCATATATATTTTATATAAATGCTTTACATTGATTTTTTGCTTCAGGCAATGGATACATCTCCCATTTTGAGAAACATTTCTACCATTGAAATTATCAAACGAGTGATAAAAAAGTTGACGTACCACAAGTAAACAGTTCAGACCCAGAGGAGAGACACTGGTGAATCGTCGTTATCTTAAATGATACTCTTAATATTTCATATTTACCACTAAATATGTAAAAAATAACTTAAAATCGTCCAATTGATACAAATATATCAACAATATACTATATTTAGCGAATGCTTTTATAGGATGACATAAAAAGCGATAAATGAAACAAATATAAATTGATAAATAATTATTTGAACGGAAAACATATTTACAGTTACTTCGTTTTGAGTATACATGTGTTTACTTGAATTATCTTTTGCCTGTGGTGTCAGTATGATTGCAAAAGCAGTCACACGAAGAAAATATACATTCCAAATGGACTCTTTATTTTAGATCGAGCATCCATTATAGATGTTGTTTAACCGAGTGAACTTTTACATTCACAAACTTATTTCAAACAATGTAGAAACAAATATGAGCGATATGTGATACATTCCTTTCTGACGTTTTATCAATGTTTTTAATCGTAGGATGTGCTGTGAATTTAGGCTTTATTAAATGGGCAATTTTATTTACAGTGTGTGTATATTGTACCTCAAATACCGATCCAGTATTATACATATTGTTTTTTGGATATTCTTTACAATCATCTTTTGTACGTGTGAACTTAGAAATTAAATGTTTAAGTACACTGAATTATGTTGTTGCTGTTTAATAATAGGAAATTCATAATTGTGTTTGTTCACTTAAACATATAACACCTTATCATTGAAACATTAAAACGTTTATATTATTCTGATAGAGCTAATATAAATAAAATTGCAATGACTTCCTTTTTATATTATCATCTTACTTATCATTGCTATTAAGTAATATATATATTTGTATAGAATCAATTACGCAATAATAACTAAATTCGTTCTTAAGAAAAAAGAATTATATTCTAATTTTCAATCAAGTTTATTTTACATCGTTGAATTTTATCGTTATATTTTTCCTTGTAACAATTTCTTAGATTTCTCATTGAAAACAAGTCACTCCTTATTCATATCACTAATCACTTTATCAACAATTTCATTATTTAACGATGAAATACACATTTACATAGTATATGAAGTAAATGTAAAACTGTATGTTGCAAATGTTACAAATATTACATGTCTAACAAGGCAAGCGCTATAAATGATCACTAATTTAAGGTTGATATCTATTCTTGGCATTACTGTTACTTAAGTTACAAGGATTCAAAAAGAACTGAAACTATAGGCATATTTACTACAGCTGTTATTAAATGTAACAAGCCCTAGAAATGTACAAGTATCAGAATACGTAGGAACAAGGTTCTTACATACTTGAGTTACGCTAGTGGAAAAACATGGCCTACAGTACCTTGCAAATTTTCTCCAACTCTAAAAGATCATATATCTAGCTAGATTTTGGTCAGAGTGTGATGCATATTTGACAGTGCTCATAAAACGACAATACAAAGCACTGTTATGGCTGAGTATGAATTACCTTCTTTACCATAAGTACGACCTTTGACAACCGCGTCAGGATATCAGTTCATACATCAGTTCTTACGTTTGTAAGAAAGAAGTTCATATCCCAGCAAGGACTGAATCACTTCGAGTGCTTTGCATCTTTCTACAACGAGGTTAAAGGTTCGTAAGATCATAACACATCGTGGATGAATGGTTCCTGGAATTTGTTTTGTGAAAAAGTTTTGATTTAAAAAAAAACGAGATGGTTTCCGATTAATAACCGATATGAAGTTAATCCATCATCATATATGATGACTTTCACAAGGGTTGTGTTGTTTTGAGTGCGCGCTACCTCCAAACAATGTGTACAACCTCTGACAACTGCGTCATAAAATCGATTGTTTGGCTTAGTGGTATAGAGCTTGTCGCAAAACCTTGTCAGAGGAATGTTGATAGTTATATTACCAGTCATTGTAGGGTCTTTTCTATTGAATTTGCATATTGCTGTTAACAATCAGACAATGCTCATAAGGACATATGACGTAATACTAAAAAAACATGGTAGTCAATTTTCACGTGGCATTTGCGTTTTACTACTAAATCTTAAATTAGGAATTGTTTTAGCAGTTGTTTCTTCCTAAAATCAAAATGTGATGTCACTGATATCCACTATATTCACTATTTTGTAGAGGTACTAATTGCAAAACGAACACATTTTGGAAATTTTCTCGTGATTATCATATTATTTCATATTTGTTTTTATCTCAACACGAACAAATGTTTTTAAAAAGGTTTTAAAGATTGAATAAAGTGAAATTTGGTGTTGGAGTGTGAGAAAATAACTCCTGTCATTATCTCTCATGAACAGAGTAAATCAAAACTAGTCTGCAATTTTCTGCATTTTACTATTGTTGTCATAAAACTATGGAGACTTTTTCCTTGTTTTTATCCTTACAACATCAGTTTTTAAAAGCTGTGTGGTAGGTTTAAATCTGTCGATGTTCCATAATTTAAAAGTCCATAATATCAAATGGTGTGTTTTTCTAAAGCCGGTGCTAACGGAGGGAGGTAGCTTGCAATTCCCACTTCTGTCTATAAACAGGCTCAGTCAAACCGAGTCTGCCACTTTCTAATTGTGCTAGTTTAGACGTCCATAAGGGATTCTGTTTAAATTTTCTCTGTTTTCGTGTTGTGAAATCACTTTTGATGTATTCATTTTATTGTAGATATATTGTAAACATGTCGAAATATCGTTTACTTTGATTTAAAATAACGACATAAAATATTTTGTCTCAGATAAACAAGAAGCATTTTCAATATAGCAAAACCATTAAAACCACTTATCTCAATGATTCAGTTTCCGATATCCATCTGTATAAAAAGCAAAAACATGTGATACATCAATGACTTTTCAAGCGATTAGAATAAGTCTGCCACAGTTCCGTCTGTGCTGTGCAGAATTTCAATTAACATCCAATACGAAACATATCATCGGAAAATCATTATACCTGATTAAAATAAAACTACGATGTATCATAGTTGTTAATTTTTATAACAAATGAATGTATCAAGATCATTAGTGATTCAGTGTTTTAAGCAATGATTGTAAAAGTTACGTTACAGTGATTTTGATTCTTGTCAGTCAATCCAGAATGCAATAAATACCTACTATGCTTGTCGTTGCAACTTGACAAACATGATTAATATTGTAACAAATGAACTGCAACACCCTTCATATTAGTTTTTTAAAAATATTTTCCTATTTGATTCCATTAATTTGTGTATAACTTTTTCAGCCATGCATGCCTTAAATTAGTATACACCACAACTGAATATGACATGATGTAACAATATGAAACATTTAATTAATAAAAACAAACAATATAAGAAACAATGGTGACGTTTTCTTCACAAACAACAATAATAAAACTACTATCCTAAGGATATAGACAGGGCCACAAATTTATCAGACGCATGTTTATTTCTAAACACACTGTATGCACTAAGTTTGAATTTAGATAAACTCTGTCAGATTTTTAATATATAAGCTTGATCTCGATTTCTATGAATGAATATTGATAGAAGTGTAAACATGTTGTTAGGTTCAAACTTACACTTATGAAGCATACTAAGCAATAGATCGAACACCACTTGATTTGGCAGAGTTCATGTACAACAATATATATTAAAAGAAATTCATTTGACTACATCATAACAAAAATATCCATAGGTAATTATGGTACGCATTTACATTATCAAAATATTTTATAAAAAAAAACTATACAAAAGTACAATTTATAGAGAATAATAAACAATGATTTATAATCCTAATGAGAATTTTTAGAACTATTTGAAAGCATTTAGAAGTTGATATTCAATATCGAAATATTGTCACATATATCTCCCGTGACAAATAGTATTGCACAAATAATGTGAATGCAAATATTTTTACTCCAAATAAAGTCAATTATCATGATATATACCGGGATATATATTCAATATTTAATGTGTTAAAATGAGATATAAAATTTGCATAGATTGTGATGTTTCTTTGAATAAACTATAATTATATTGAAAATAAATGAAATCAGAACACAATATTTCCATGTCGTTTTTGTATGTGGTTCATTACAAATAAATATCCTTTTTTTAGTACCTATCTTTAATCATCAGTTGGATAATTGCTGGCAGTTTAGTGTAGAATTCAGACACGAAACGTTTATATTTTTTGAAGAAAGTTCTGATAGTCTTTTTTTGATAACTGCTATAGTTTATTTTATAACGCTCGATGCAATGAATGATGAAAATAAGTATATAAATTTTAGGATTTATAGACGACGCTTTTGCCTTTTCCTAAATATATGGGAATTTTGTAATACATAAACTAGATCACTTAGAAAGCAAAAACGTACATAAAAGTGACCGCGACGCACGGGTGATAAATATATTCTTTGGATAGTTGACCTAAAACTGGACCGCATAGTCATCATATGTGTTTGGCAATATTATATATATGCGCTTCACATTTGAATATCTATTGCATAGATGGACGGATAACTTTATTGGTATAAAAATGTTCCACACAAATCAGTTGATTATAAAAAGGTTGCCTATCTAATATATTTATATACTCACATGCTATTGGAATTCTAAGCAGTACCAGATGCCTACATTTAACGCTTGACTTTTAATGTAAATATTTTAGTTAAATAGATGTGCCTACTTAGTTGTTTGCTTTTCGTAAGTAATCAGTCATTAATTGATTCATTGTTAAATACAATAGATTAATCAGCACAAAGCAATTGTAAAATTATATCAATTTCATGAATTAATATCTGAGAGTTAACACTTTTGAATTATCTGAACAAGCATTCCTCTTGTTTTGTAGAAAACAGTCAGACCTTTTACACTCCTTCAATCTTTTTATACATATCACAGCAGGTATGTCCGGAATGTATATTGAAATATCGTATTGTTCTGTAAAATTCTAAAGACAAGTGATGCAAGTTTTAAATCACCTTTCTAACATACGAGGGTTTTCCCAAAATTCCACATGGAAAAGTATAATGCACTGTACGCATTGACTTTCGAAATGGAGTCACTCGGGAACATTACATGTTAAAATTTCACTAAAGATACATCATCATTATTATTTCTATTATTATTATTTTGCAAACCAGTGCAAGACCTGATATTCAGACATTAAACTTTATTATCTAAAGAAATCATGTACTAACGAAATAAATAAAATACGAAGTTTTATTACACAATTTAACCAAACCATTTGGGATGCATATATGTATTTGGGTGAGAAAGCAAATTAAAACTCGCTTCTGGTGTTTAAAACTTCAAATGTATGTGTAAAACCTGCGTATCGCTCAGGAGTTAATTTCGTCCATTTTTTGTGGGCTTTCTTTCTGGTGGTCATTTCATTTCAGGTACCCTTACGGAAATCTGTTCCCAGACACCACAAACATATAAGTTAATGTGCCAAAAATAATCAAGATTACTTGAATATGATTCGGAATAGAAATTGAAAACTGAACACACCTTATTTTCCCAAGCAACAGTAT